CTGAAGGAATACTGTGTTGCTGAAGAAAAAGAAAGTCAAGAACCTTCTTGAAGAAAATGATGCCGCTGTGTGATCTACGAGTCACTGAGGAATTTCAGCAGAAGAAAGTGTTTTGAAGAGGTGAAATTCACACACACAAAAATCAAAATCCATGAGATAATAGTTTCCACTGAAGCTTGTTGACGGAATGATGTCTCCTGTAGGCAACACGTAGATGGAGTTTGTTATTTTAATCCAGTCTGCTAATCTGTGAGGTTTGATTGATGAGTTTTAGCCATTTACATTCAGGCTTAATATGAACAGGTGGTACTTTGGTCCTGTCATTTTAGGAATGGGTTGTTCATTGCTTTAGTCTTCTGTTGTCATTTTACTGGGATGTTCTTCCCATTTGCCTTTGGTTTTGGTAGGTGCTATTCCTCTTCTCTGTCAAGAGAACATCTTGAAGTATCATTTGTAGGGCGGGTTTGGAAGAGGCAAATTCTTTTAGCTTTTCTTTGTTGTGGAAGAATTTTGTTTCATTTTCAAAGACAAAGGAAAGCTTTGCAGGGTATGTTATCGTGGGCCAACAATTTTTTTCTTTTAGAATCTGGAATATGTCACTTCATTCTCTTCTTGCCTGTAGAGTTTCCTGTGAGAGATCTCCTGTGAGTTTAATTGGCATGCCTTTATATGTCATTGATTTTTTCATGTGTACATTTAAGGATCTTTTCCTTATGTTCAATTGGAGAGAGCTTGATTATCAAGATCTCTTTTGGTCAATTCTGTTGGGAGGGGCCCAACACAGTAGCATAGTGGTTGTCCTTGTCTTGCACACGCCAGGATCCCACATGGGCGCTGGTTCTAATCCCGGCTGCCCTGCTTCCCATCCAACTCCCTGCTTGAGGCCTGGGAAAGCAGTCAAGGATGGCCCAAAGCCTTGGGACCCTGCACCCTCGTGGGAGACCTGGAAGAGGCTCCTGGCCCCTGGCTTCAAATTGGCTCAGCTCCAGCTGTTGCGGCCGCTTGGGGAGTGAACTATCGGATGGAAGATCTTCCTCTGTGTATAACCGCCTTTCCAATAAAAATAAAGAAATCTTTAAAAAAAAAAAAAAAAAGACTGTTGGGAGTTCTGTGCTTTGTCCCTCCGGGATGTTGTTTCCCAATTCTTTCTCCAGATTTGGGAATTTTTCCCTTATTATTTCATTAAATACCTTTTTAAACCCAACTTCTCTTTCTATACCTTCTGCAACTCCCATAACTCTTATATTTGGCCTTTTAATAGTGTCTTTCAATTCTTGAATACTTTTTAACTTGACCCAGCTCTGCTTCCAACTTTTTGTTTGTTCCTTCTGGTGACAGGAAATATCTTCCAATTCTGAAATTCTTTCTTCTGCCTTCTTCATTCTATTTTTGAAACTATCTACTTTTAATTTGCTCCATTATATTCTTAAATTCTGATATATCAACTTTCATTTGAGTCATTTCCTGTGTAACATGTTTCTTAAATTCCTTGAATTCCTGCATTACATACTTCTTGTTTTTGATAGGAAGCTTTGTAACAAGTGTTTTGAATTCTGTATCTCCCATTTTCTCGATGTCTTCCTCATTTACCTCTGAGGTTGGCAAAGGGTTTTGCTCCTTTGCAGGGGAGTCTTCAGTAATATTCATTGTGCCTCTGCCTCCTCTTTTGCTCTTGGTCATTGTACTTCTGGTTAGCAGATTCTCCTTGGGGCAGGTTTTTAAGTTCTATCACCCACGGTTCTATGGTTTGATTTAACTTATTGCAGTTGGTACTTGGTTCTTTGTTTGCAGTCACTTGTGCCACTCCCTCTAGCAAGTTCCAGGTCTGGGTTCTTATGTTAGATTTCCACCATGGTCTCTGTGGTCCCAGCTGTTGGCTCTCCACTCTTCACCTCCTGTGATACTATGTTGGGTCTTTTCCATTGTCTCTACAACCTATTTTCCCACTTCCGGTTGAAGCAGGTCCCAGGATTAGGGAGACACCAGATGTCCTATATAGCTAGGCTGTTGGTTGTGCTGATATTGCTGGAAACTGTTAGCCTTATGTTTGAGGGCCACACGGAGCTATTTTGACCAGTACGATACCAAAGTTGATGTTATTTTCCTGCGGGACCAGTGCAGTTCACTGGGCTGGGTGAGTTGGCTGCCAGCTCAGTGCATGTGCAGTTCCCTGTTGTCCCTGCAGTCTTTGTCTTTCCACACTGTACAAATTGTGTCTGATGTGCCACTCCTAGAGTTCATGATCTGCTGGCCATCAGGTCCGAGGGCTATTTGGACCCATCTTGGATGGAACCTGTGGGATGCCATGTTGTTGCAGTTCATTGAGCCAGAATTGAGTTCATTCCCAGCTCAGTGCGTGTGCAGTACTGTGCATAGCCTTTGCCTCCCTATATAAAATGGTGCCTGATTCAGCTCTAGGGGGCTGACTGGGCTTTGAAATCTACACGTCTGGGTCCTGCTGCTCTGTCTCTGGTCTTGATCAAATCAAACAGATCGGCAGGACAAGCCCAACTGGACCTGCCAGCCATGAGGCTCACAGACCCAGCACTCACTGCACAGGCTGGTCAAGGCTCTAGACCAGGTGACATGTGCCCTGCTGGACCCTCGTGCCCAGGGCTCATAGACCTAGCCCCAGCTGTGCAGGTGACCGAGCACCCAGGCCAGGCAGCCTGAGTCCCATCTGACTCCCTGTTGCTGGGGGTCACGGTTCTAGCACCCACCTTCCCTTGACTCTCATGGCTCACCTCACTTTGGTATCTACCAGCGGGGGCTGCAGCCTGGGTCAGACCAGCCTGCTCCCAGTTCCAGCTCATGTGGGTGGGTTCTGCATCCCCGCCAGCCCCCAGTTCTGGCCCTGATGTGATCTGGCTGGTGTTGCAGCCCGACCTGGCCCCTCCTTCATCCTGTCCTGTTTCTTAGATCTGCCAGTGGATATGATGAACTGGCCTAGCCTGGCCTGCTCCCTGATCTGACCCACACCTATGCCAGTGGGTATTGTAACCTGGCTGGTCTGAGCTGCTCCTTCCCTTGGTTGTTACGTTCATCTGTAAGGACTGCCTCCTGACAAAGGAGTTTCCCGAGCTGGTCTATCAGATCTCCTCCCAATGGCAGATGCTTCTCACACTGTGTGTTTTGGCCCAAGTAGACTTTGTCTACTTCTTGTCCTGGCAAGAACAGTAGCCTTGCCCAACCAGCTCAAACCATTCCGGTTTTCACTCTTGGGTGCTACAGCCCAGCAATACCTGGTCCATACCCAGACACAGCTCTCATGCGGTTCAGTGCGAGGCGAGACCTAGCCAATCAGTACTGTTACCCATGCTGGTTCTCATGCATGCCAGTGGGTACTGGAGTCTAGCACAGTCTGGCACTCCCCAGACTCAGTCCACACCCATGCTGAGGGAAACTGCAGTCATGTCCAACCCAGACCACCAACCCCATTCTGGCCCTTGTGCTCACCGGTGGGAACTCCCACCTAGCTAGGGCTTCCCATTAACGCTCCACCCAGGCTTGTTCTCAGCCACAGCTCTTACACGTGCCACTGTGGTTGTTGTTCCACAGGCATGAGAACCCATACGCCCCGACAGATTCTGCCTCCAGTCCTGATTCACTCACATGTTTCTCAGTGTTATGGTCCAGCCACACGTTTCCCATGCACCGTTCCAACTCTTACTGGTGGGCACTCCTGTCCAGCCCTAGCAGGAATGCCCCCATCCAGCCTCATTGTGTGCCTTTCATGGTCGATGCTGACTGCTCCAGTTCAGGCCTCATTGGTGAACTGGTATTTCAGTCTGGCCCTTAAAGATCCTCCCATCCCCTGCTCCAAACAACTCAGTCTCAGCATCCCTGCTTACCTGCTAGAACAGTGGTAGTGTCCATGGAAGTCTCTTGGAAGTCATTCATCACCTGGACACGAACGCTCAGGTTTCTGCACGCCCCAACCTGTGCCTACCACAAGATCCTGTATAGGCCCACACCCCCAAGTTCCCAAAGCATATCACCGGGCAGCCGGAGGACTTTGCCTGGCACCAATGGTGGCCTGGCTGCCTGACCCAAGATGGCACCAGCTGCATTTCAGCAGCTGGAGGGGTGAAATTCTTGGGTCAGGAGGCTAAGCTGTGCTCCCTCCCACCAGCTGAAACTATGTGCAGCTGAGTGGTTTAGTTTTGACTGGAATTTTTTATGAAACAGAAAATTTAGAAATAATAGTTTCATTGAAATAATCATCTTATTTTTAAATGAATTAATTTAGTAACTTCAGAATTTGCTTCTCTAATCTACAGGTTTGAAAAAAAATTTGAAAGAAAACACAGATCTGCCAAGATTTTTACATAGATTGAAACAGATTCTTCCTTGAGAAGAACCAGTGCTGGGCGTGATGGGCCTAGGCACTAGTTGTGATGTAGGCATCCCGTGTCTAATGGCCCAACTACGATAGTCTCCATCCCATGAGCCCCTGGGGTACCTGGCAGGCAGGAGGCAGTACCCCAGGCCTGGACCCTGCCACCCACACTGGAAGCCAGGATGGAGTTCTGGCCGCTAGCTAGGTTTGGCTGAGACTGGGCCATTATGGCTACAGTGACCAGTGGGTGAGAAATAACCCCCTTTCGCCTCCTCTCACTGTGTGGCTCTGAGACCTGTACCCACTGATCATGTCTTCAGGTCCACCTGTTGACACACACAGGATGCTTGTATTTGAAGGTTTGTTTTTTGTCAGACACATCCTCTCTTATTTTGCTGCTTGTCCAAGTAGGAAGCCATGTTAATGGGTTCTGTACGAATACTTCTCTCAGACACCTGCTTTGAATCTGTTTTGTACAAGTTGCAAATATGAGAGATGCTTCTTTCCTGGGTTCCCCGCTCTGCTTGTTGGGAAACTCCACTTGGTGTTGTCCATGCGTTCTTTTGATTGGCTCACAGACTTATCATGCGGTGAGGCAATACCCAAGTGCCGTTTGAATACTGTGTGACTGTCCGGCCAACTTCTCCTTTCTTCTTCCTAGAGCCTGTGTGTGTTCACACCCCCTGGGTTGAAGGAAGGCAGGCCCCGGCTCATCCCCGCTGGGCCCATCACCCAGGGCACCACCATCTCTGCGTATGTGGCCAAGTCAAGGAAAACGCTGCTGGTGGAAGACATCCTTGGGGTAAATGATTGTGACTCCTCGTGACACTTTTAACCTGCTGGGTGGTGTTTAACTGAAAAACAGGATAGATTTTTTTTTAAAAAAAAAAAGACTTATTTATTTGAAGGACAGATTTTACAGAGAGAGAGAAAGAGAGACAGAGAGGTCTTCTGCTGGCTGGTTCACTCTCCAAATGACACAGTGGCTGGAGCTGAGCCAATGTGAAGTCAGGAGCCAGGAGCTTCCTCCTGGTCTCCCACATGGGTGCAGAGGCACAAGGCTTTGGTCCATACCCCACTGCTTTCCCATGCCATTGGCAGAAAGCTGATCAAAAGTGGAAGAGCCAGGAGATAACCTGTTGCACATTTAGGATGCCAGCACTGTAGGCAGAGGCCTTAAATGACGTGTCACTGTGCCAGCCCACTAGATTTTTATATTGTAGTTTAAGCCATCTCATCTTTAGTCAGCAACGAAGCAGTTCACACACACACGTATATGTATGCATGAGTTTATGTGTAAACTCTATTTTTGTGCTCAGAAAAGTTATATTTTAAATACCGCTACGAGCTGCGTTTGGGCAATTCTTATTTCAGTGCATGGCAGTATGAATAGCACAGAAATATTTTTAGCCATGTTAACTAAATGACTGCTGTTTTGTGTCTCACATCTTGCCAGGATGAATGAGAGTAGAGATGAGTTAGCTACTCCATTTGGCAAATGACTCCAACTTACGATGGAGTGCTTCTGCCATGTTTCAGAGTGTTGGGCAGGGCCACCTGCCGGCTGCCAGGCTGGCCCTGACTCTGAGACCAGCCAGCCTTCGGGAAGGTGCTGGGTGGTCCTGACTCTGAGACCAGCCAGCCGTCGGGAAGGTGCTGGGTGGTCCTGACTCTGAGACCAGCCGGCCGTCGGGAAGGTGCTGGGTGGTCCCGACTCTGAGACCAGCCAGCCGTCAGGAAGGTGCTGGGTGGCCCCGACTCTGAGACCAGCTGGCCGTCGGGAAGGTGCTGGGTGGTCTCGACTCTGAGACCAGCCAGCTGTCAGAAAGGTGCTGGGTGGTCCCGACTCTGAGACCAGACAGCTGTCAGGAAGGTGCTGGGTGGTCCCGACTCTGAGACCAGCCAGCCGTCAGGAAGGTGCTGGGTGGTCCCGACTCTGAGACCAGCCAGCTGTCAGGATGGTGCTAGGTGGCCCCAACTCTCAGACCAGCCAGCTGTCAGGAAGGTGCTGGGTGGTCCTGACTCTGAGACCAGCCAGCCATCGGGAAGGTGCTGGGTGGTCCTGACTCTGAGACCAGCCAGCTGTCAGGAAGGTGCTGGGTGGTCCTGCAGAGTCCCAGATCTTTTCATATCTTTCACACATTTCCAGGAGTGCCAGTCTGGCGGGTGCATGTGCAGGTATGACCAGAGTTCAGGAGAATCAAGTGTTTAAGCCTGTTTCTTCAAAGTTAGTGCTTTCTGTAGAGCCCAACAAGACACCATCTTGGGGATCACTGAGAACGGACCCGGGTACACACACACTTGGTGAAGTGGTGTGCTGTGACAGCCACCAGTGCGCATAAGAGGGCACTTCAACACATTCAGGGGAATATGCAAGCATTGGGTTTTGGATGCCAAAAGAAAATTGAAATCTGTGCATGTGAGGATCATAGAAAATTCATGCAACATAAGAAAAACCAAACCAAAACAACAACAAAAAAATACCTATGCATGGATTCTTAGTTTTTTGCTCCACAATAGCCTCCAATTTTCAATTTGATTTTCATGGCCTTTTTTAAAGTACCCTTATATATGTGAAAATTTTAAGACAGTATCACCATATGTAATATACTTGAAAAATGACAATTACAAGTGCATACTCTGATGTAAGGAATTGGGGCTGCAAAAGCATTAAATTGAACTTGTGAAATTTAGGCTTTAATTTAATTTTGCCACGGATCACCTGTATGAATTTCAACAAGTCAGCTAACTTGTTCCATTATGGAAAAAAAGAGAGCAAGCAAGAAAGTAAAGTTTAAAGTAGCCACTGTGTTTATTCCTGTTTGAAAATGACCTGTTGTGTATGCAAGCTTCAAGTGATCTTTACATTAAAGTATAGATCTATAACATTGATTCGTGAGGAGATTCCAGTTTATGCCTAATAGTTTCCAGAGGCAGCAGAAATGCAACAGGGGGAATTGCTGTTTGTCACATTATTTCATTGTCTCCCTATATTTTCTTTGCCTGATTGGTCCAAGCCTGGAAATTTATGAAGTGGAAAAAGCAATTTCCTTTCTTATACTAAGTAATTTATAATCATTAGATGATTTGAATGCTTAATATGGGCTTTGAGATTCAACTATAATATCTGTAATTAACTTAGCATTCTGTATTGTTTTCACCTTGAAAATAGAAGACAAGTGTATAGGTATTGTGGTGTGCGTATTGGGAATGATGTTGATATAAAGTTACCTGTGTGAGATCCTCAGATGAAATGTGGCACGCTGAAGATGACACGCAGCACCTCACGTGATTACTTAGCTTATTGCATGAAGTGTTTAGTACTTACCAGGAACATTAAGACATTGAAGGGGTGAAAGCCCCGTGTCAGTATGGGTTAGCATTGCCAAGTGTGTGAAGCCATCGTCCTGTAACTGACCTCGGAGAAGATGTGCCTATCTTTGATGACAAAGCCACGGCCCTTTGTCATGCATTTCCCCCTCTCGCTTGCTCTCAGGATGAGCGATTTCCAAGAGGTACGGGACTGGAATCAGGGACTCGTATCCAGTCTGTTCTTTGCTTGCCCATTGTCACTGCCATCGGAGATTTGATTGGCATTCTCGAGCTGTATCGTCACTGGGGCAAAGAAGCCTTCTGCCTGAGTCACCAGGAGGTGAGGTGTTGCACTTGGCTTGTTCGGGGGCGGGGGGGTTAGCTGTGCCTCCCCCACGGAGGGTGCCTTTGCACAGTGCTTGAGTGGGTGCACGCGTTTGTAATGTCACAGTTGGCCTGTGTCCCTAAAGTTACCCAGGGTTTTAAAAACCTGCTTTTCCTGTTTGGTTTTGCTTGTCTGTAGAGGGAACTGATGAGATTAGAAATGTGATACTCTTCTTTCTTCTAAGAATGCACTTGTAACAGTAAAAATATGCCACACTCGGAGCTTTCACTTCCTGGCTGTCATTACAGCTTCTCAAAGCTAGAGGATCCAGTGCAGTGTCCAGCATGCTTGGAAGAGAGCAAGCTTCATTCACTAGTTACTGGATTGGACTGGCTCCCTAGTGCTATACCCAACTTGATCACAGCCCATGTGAACCAAGTCCCCACCATAGCTGAGCTGCCCTGTCAGCCTCCGGCACCTCTGCGGGGCCTGTCTCGTGGTGGACAGCAGTTGAAATGTGTTACGCGTGCATCACAGGGAAGGTTTAGAACCTCTCCAGTGGTGTCTACGCTCTACTTTTACTTTTTAGAGATGCCTTATCGATTTCAGGTTATCATTAAAGGCTTTGTTCAATATTACCTTTTGTTTTAAAATCATGCTTTCGTGATTTTCATGCCTTCAGAAACAAGATTGTCTTTCTGTTATCTTAAGACAAATGAGCAAATATTAAACTTAAGTAAGTCGGAGAGGAAATATAGAAACTTGTAAATGTTTGGCCTTTTGCATCTGTCACAGCAAAGTTCAGTGGCCCTAGATAAGCCTTCATGTCCAGCGATGCTAGTCTTCTGTCGGGATGCATGTATGCTGCTAATGAAAACTTGTCTTCTATATAAATGTTATTTTTAGGTTGCGACAGCAAATCTTGCCTGGGCCTCGGTAGCAATCCATCAGGTGCAGGTGCGTCTTCGGCTTGGTTTTCAGGGGTGTAGCATTGGGGACTGGAGTACAACATACATCGATTTAATATATTTCTAAGTACATTTAATTTTTTTACTTTTTATATGCTCATGTGTTCTTTATCTAACCTTGGATATACTGAGAATAATTATGGTTCACACACATTTATATATAAATGAGAAATTTTGAAATTGATGTCTTGCTAAATTGTTTGCTTTTAATTGAGAACAAGTATTCACAGTTTCCTATATCGTATCCTTATGATGTATTTCCTAAGAAAGTTTTCCTCTCGACTAAGTGGTATCTAAAGAGCAGGTGGCTCCACTGCTAATTAACCCTGAAATTAAGATTCACAGTTTCTTTATGCCTCCATTATAAAATGTCAGACCCCTAGCCTGTAGGGTTTTGTGGTGATTAAGGGAGACACCAAAGGCCTTAGAAGCCTTATTGCTGTGTTGAGCACGTTGTAAGTTTCCCAGAAACGTTAGTATGTCTCTGTGTTACAAGGCAGGTGATTGTGCTGTCCCGTTACTCAGCAACTGCTGTGAGAGATGTCCGGGACATTTCGTTAATCAGTGAGCAGAGAGCTCTTAGAATTAATAGCCACCGTTTTCCATGGCAGGTGTGCCGAGGTCTTGCCAAACAGACTGAACTGAATGACTTTCTCCTCGACGTGTCAAAGTAAGTGCTCATTTCTCAGCGTGGTAGCTCTCGCTGATCAGCCACGCTCTGGCAGGGAGGGCCTGCTGGCCAGTGCAGCCCGTCACTGCAGGCACAGCGTCGCCGCACGATGCTTGGGTGGAATGGCAGGTCACGCTGCGGACCCCACAGTTCTGTTCTCACCGTGTTCATCTCACAAGTCAAGGCTTACAAATGGACATGGACGTGCAATGATCTTGCCTTCCAGCCTGACCTGTATTTGCTCAGTTGACTGACTTAGAATACATTAAAAACAAGCAATAGCTTGATTTTTTCCCAAGAGAATACTGATGAGCATAGTAGAAGAGTTCTAGTTTTGTCATGCTGTCAGTAAATTACAAACAGTGTTATTATTTAAATCTTCTTGTTTGTACTACCTCAAGCATCACTTTTGAGAAAAATACTCTATTTCTCTGAAGATTGACCTGGAAGAATTCTCGGGCTGGCAATGGAAGCCATTATAGATAATTCTTAAATTCTGAGTTGATACTGCTTTTGCTTTTTTATGGAAGGGAGACCCTCTGTGTATTCGACCCAAATCATTGATTACTGAAATGTAAAAATATCAGAATATGGTGCTTCAGGGTCCTGTCCTCCTGCAAACTGATTCAAGAAATGATAGACTTGATCTTCCATGGTCTCTGGCAGCCTCAGTTTTGTGTTTATTTCTGAGACAGAGCAGGGAGAGTTTGTGGTGCAGCAGTTGAGAGCCTGTTTGGGACATCCGCGTCACACTTGGAGAGCAGCTAACTTTGAGTCCCCTCTCTCCTTTCTATCGCAGCAAGCTCTTGGAGGTAGCAGGGTTCAGGTACTCGGATCCCCTGCCAGCAGCCAAGGAGCTTTCATATCCACTCCTGGCCCCTGGCATCAGCCTGGCCTGTCTCAGAATTTGTTTGAAAAGAATGGACAGTGGGAATAGGTGGGGACTCTCTGGTCACCGAAGCCAGCCTTCTCTCAGCAGAGTTGAATAGGATGTCTCTGGGACACACGGTAGCAGGGCTTCCAAATGCGTAAGGAGGAAAGCTGTGAGCCTTTTCTGGAATGTGCGGCAGCTCTCTCAAAGTAGCTGAATACCTCATCCTCTACTTTCAATCCATTTCCCTCAGTGGGACACTGATTCACTTCACCATCTTTGTTACACATCCCTCAGCATGTAGTGTAATGAAGTGCATTCCAAGTTCCGGGGGCTGCAAGCTAAATAATTCTCCCTTTAACTAAGGGAAAATTGCATTACTGTAAGTTATCATAATTGTGAGTATGTTGTTACATTTCTCCAAATCTAAGCTGAAGGCGTTAGCTAAGCCTGGAATGCTGATGTTGAGTGCTTCTCACTTTCCTGTGTGTGTGCGTGCGTGTGTGTGTGTGTGTGTGTGTGTGTGTGTGTGTGTGTGTGTGTTGACTTTTTACTGAGTGTGCACTTTAAGGCATGTGCCATACACCTCCCAAACAGACTCGACATTCGTAAATAGAGAATATACATTTTGTTTCTGTCTAGTCATCTTTATTATTATTAGTATTGTGATGTTTCTCATGTTCATTGCACTGCTCTCTCAATTCAGTTTGTTATTTTAACATTGTATAGCTTTCAATGATAATTTACATTTAACCTATTAATCAGGCTTAGCCGACTTCAATATGAAAGTTGTGAATATAACTATTAAATATTCATGTGTGATTTTTGCGAATTGCTTGAAGCTTCCTCTTTGCATTGATACATTCCAATGAAGTAAGTAACAAATGTATTCCCAGAGAATAGACTTTTTACAGTAAGACATAACTTTCATTTATCTCTTTGAGACTACATCATGAATTGTTCCCTCAAAAGTTGCAAAACGTAACAACTTTATGCTTTTTATTTAATTATGGGCAAAATCAGGGAGTGTATTCCAAGTTTAAGATGCACTGTGATCTAAATCTGATTACTTACATGACTTACGTTTTTATTTTTCCAGAACGTATTTTGATAATATAGTCGCAATAGATTCTCTACTTGAACACATAATGGTATGTTGCCATCTGTTTTGAGATTATTTGATGTGGGAGTCCTGATGTATGCTATAGCATTCGAACGTATTGGTGTGCACGCCTTTTGAAACATTGCAGAAAGCAGTACTTAGGAATCCACTCTGGCCTGTCTGTAGTCCCACAGGTGATTTGCCAGGATTTGCACCCATTCTAGTGGATTCTCTTTTCAGCTTCCTTGCAGTGCTTTTTGAAACAACAACAGCGACAAAAAAAAGTCCAGTTTTGGGTGTTAAATGTCAGAATCCATTGCTAAGTCAGATAGCCTGAGATATTTATCTGTGGCTTAAGCTTTTACATTTAGATTTTTTTAAATCTGTGACCTCTGTGTCCTTATTGACATAATATTCTAATGGGGCAACGAACGTAGTCGAGTGGCAATATAGGTAAAAATTGCAGTAATGATCTGGGCGGTGCTAGAACATGATATTAGAGGAGTGAGGTTGGGTGGGAATTGTCGTTGTCATGGAAGCGAGTCTCGCTTGCCAGGTGGTCCTTCAGTCTGCCTCCGTGTTTTTCAGTGAGGTAAATCTGCCATTGTGGAGAACGTTTGTCTTCACATCAGAATGTCCTGACCATCACAGATAGGTGAAGGAAGCCTGTACTGTTGGGACAAGTGGAGATGCACCCACCTGTTTTCAGATGTCCGCTGGCCAAATGGGTCAGCTCCTAGTGGTGAATTAATGAGTTAGACTTTACACTGATTTTAAAACTGGTTTTCAGCTGTTTATATATTCCCTACCTTATCTGACAGATACTTAAATTATCTTAGGAGAATCAAAAGTGGGAATTTCTGTCTTGTATTATTGGAAAGTCCTTGAAGAACAAGGTTTCTATGAATATGGGACCTGATGGCTCAGATTGTATTTTCAGGAATATGTCTTGTTACTTCTGTAAATACTTACTCTCTGAGGGTCTTTCATACTTGATGACACTCTGCCCCGTTTCCTGGAAGGTGTATAGTTTACTGGTTATTCCCATGTCCGTAGCTAAAGAAATCTAAAGCCACACACATGCATGGAGGTTGGACAGTATGCTCCTGAATGAACATTGGGCTGTAGCAGAAATCAGAAAGAAGACATTTCCTGAAACAAATGAAAATTAAAATGTAACGTATCAAAACATACGGAATCCAAGTCAAGAAGTGTAAAGAGAAAAGTTTGTAGCAGTGATTGCCTACAAAGCAAAACATGGAAAAGTATCAAATAAATAATCTAAAAATGTGTCGCAATGACCTATATAAACAAAAGCAAATCAAATCCAAATTAGTTGAATGAAAGAAATAACAAAGTAGAGAGGAACTAAACAAAATATAAATTAAAAGTGCGAAAGTTAGTGAAATGAACACCTTATTTATAAATCATTGGCCGAAATAACAAAGAGAAAATTAAATCCATAAAATCAGACGTGAAAGAGCAGATGTTATAACTAATGCCACAGAAATAAAAAGAACCATTAGTGAATATTATGAATAACTTTGCAACAGATTTAAACATTTAGAAAAAATGGATAGATTTATTGACACATACGATCTACCAAAATTGAGACATACAGACTTGGAGAACCTGGATAGATCAGTAACCTGGATAGATCAGTAACCAAGATTGAGAATGGATCAGTAATAGGGTCCCAACAAGGATAACTCAGAACCGGTGGCTTCATGACGAACACCGTGACACTTTGAAGAAATTCCCATCCTGCTGAAGTGACTCAAAAACAATCGAAGGAAAGGCATCCATCAACACTCATGCCAAGAGATCATCATTACCTTAACTCCAAAACTAGGGAAAGATCTCACACACACACACACTCTCTCTCTCTCTCTCTCTCTCTCTCTCACACACACACACATAGAGGGAGCTTTGGCCCCTTATCCTTGATAATCATGAGGGTTTTTCTCTTTTCCTCTGACCACCAGGTAGCCCTTGATCCTCTTGTACGATTTTTTTGTTTTGTTTACAATAGGTGTTTCTCTTTGAGAATTCTTCATCTCTGAGGAATAATTTCATGGCCACATCTATATAATAAAAATTGACAATATTCTCAATATAGGTAATTATAGCGTCCATGACATAATTATAGGCCCAACTCACTAAGGAAAATGGGAGATGTTAGGCACTGGAGAAATATTTTTGAAGGACATAAACAAATGAGGAAATGAATATACTGGCTTTCATCTAGAAATTTAAAGACACATGTTTGTTATAGAAGCATTGGGGATATATATACTGGATCCATCTTTTGCTAGCCGTGTGAAAGTGGGTCATACTTCTCTCAGTGTCTCAATATGTAAATAGATAGCATTTCCCCATGACTTAACATTGGTATGGTGAAGAATAAATAAATTGATGTACCTGAAGCATGTAAATGCATGATGAACATGCAGTGGTTAACGAGGTGGGCCTCAGCTGGAGATGGACTCTTGGCAAGCTGGGCCGGTGGCGGCTGACAGCAATGCAGGTGTCAGCTCTTTGTTCTTAAGTTTATCAGCTGCCGTTAACTCGAAACTGTGGCTTCGTGATACAGCATGTCTTATATTTTTGTATCAGTATCCTTCTTGTTGTGTCAGTGCCTGTGCAGTCAGGGTGTAGCCTAACTGACATCACTGTGTTGTGTCAGTGCCTGTGCAGTCAGGGTGTAGCCTAACTGACATCACTGTGTTGTGTCAGTGCCTGTGCAGTCAGGGTGTAGCCTAACTGACATTACTGTTTCTTTCATGATAAAGTTTCTGTTTTCTCCTTTGCTAACTTTACTTTGTCATTTGCCTTTAGATATATGCAAAGAACCTGGTGAATGCCGACCGCTGTGCCCTCTTCCAGGTAGACCATAAAAACAAGGAGCTATATTCAGACCTTTTTGATATTGGAGAGGAGAAGGAGGGCAAGCCTGTCTTCAAGAAGACCAAAGAGATAAGGTATAAGTGATACGGCATGTCCGCTGCGCTGAGTCCAGACGTGCAGGTGTTCCGGCATCCACTTTCCTGTACCTATTCGCAGGTGTGCTGGCAATGCTTGTCATACTGTGATATCATTCCCACCAGGACCCGCCTCCTGAAGGTAGTACTTCTGGGAATGACATTGCAGTGCCAGCGAAACCGCGCCTGGAAGCTTTAGCGTCAGTCCTGGAAATGCCCTCTTCCGGAGGCGGTCCTTTTGGAAATCTTGTTGGAAAATCTTACTAGTGCTCCCAGGTAGGTCAAGGTACGCTCCACCTGGCGTCTGTAGACTTTCTCATGATTTGGAGCAAGAGGGAAGTCAAGCAATTTGGCCCCCATCCCTTCCCAGCCCGTGCAGTCTCTCATGGTCCGGATGGTGATGGAAACTGATCTGGTATCCTTGTAACTGAACCAGTTGGTTAATCGCTTGTGCAGCACGCTCTGGCTGCACCATGAAGCCTCCTTTATTATTAAAATGGAATCTATTGTCACTTTGAATGAGCAGAGCAGAAATGATATTGCTGGTGGAGGTGGGCATGGTGGCTCAATTGTACCACAGCCTGGATATCCATAAGGAGCACTGTCCTGGAACGTTTAAGAATTAAGCTCAGCATTCAAAATTTAAAGATGCTGAAGCATTGGCATTCCTTTGGCTTTCTGTATTTTATTTACTTTTTGATAGGATACCATAAAGCTCTCTGGTCATTACAACACGCAACTAACATATTGTTCCTTATTTAAGAATTGTCGTTTGTTGGAGCAGTTTGCTGTACAAGGAATTAGTGCCTTTAGAAGTGTGTCTCACCAGGGGCAATTCCAATTTTCTTTCCTTGACTCGCAGAGCCTGTATTCCATAAAGATACTATAAGTTTCAGAGTTTTTCAGAATGAATGTTTTTGAGTGTATCAGCTGTGTATGTTCATTTACTTAAGGCAATCTCTTGCTGAATGTCTGCGTGCTCCTTGGCACTTCTGTTGCATATCTGTATTTCTGAGTGTAGGAGGAGAAGCAAAGGTGGCTTGCTCTCACTCTGATGACTGGACAGGGTCAGCGTTATGTAAGGGGATCAACCCTCTTCTAACGGGCTTCTCGGGAGACCAGCAGCAAAATACACAATCTGAATACAATTTACAGCTCCGACCGCCCCAGGCCGAGACAGAGAAGCATAAATCCACGCACAGGCTGTGATAGTCTAGGTGCTCCTGGCACTCCGGCTCACTGTGCTCTTTTATTCAAAGCCAGAAAGCAAGTCAGCAGACCGCTTACATCCTGTGCAGTGTCTGATTGGCTCTTCAATGGTCTAAGTTCATTCTCTTGTGTCCTTTTCCTTTTGAGGTCTCATGATTCCCTGTTGAGTGATGCTCTGTTTCAACAGGGATTATTTTGTATCAGGTGAAGAGTTTGTATGATGATTACTTTGAAATGTTGAAAAATTGATGTTGTGGCTAATAAAATTATAGAAATAAGGGCATGTGTAGTGATAATGGGAAAATTATTTGTAAATATGGGAATGTGGTTACAACAGAAAAAATATTGACAGCATATAATAAAGCAGATAATGCTAATACTTTGATTGCTTTAAAAATTAAAAGACAAAACCCCTAGCAGTTGTACATCATACTGCAAATGGAGTAAAATTCAAGGTCTCGGGGAGACGGGAGCTGGGAGGTGAAGAGCACAGAGGTGTGGGCCCGCCTTCTAGCTTACTGTGCTGCTAATGTGTTAGGAATGTTGGCAGGTTTTGAGCTCCTGTAGACGACAGTTCACACCTCATTGAGAATCTGCTGAAACTTAGGTGGTGGCATTTTCTAGATTAAAAGATGCATTGCAGTGGATGGGGTTATTACTGGTCAGTGCAGGATCATGCTGGCTGATTTTAAATTTCCGTTTATACTCCAATAACTTTTAGTTCTCTCTTGAGAAAGGTTCTCAAGTGATCAGCTATACAATGACTTTCTGCTTTATTTTTGCTTGTTTTGTGAGAAGATGGTTTAGGAGTTGTAAATGTAATGCTAATGTGTTTGAAGCAGTGGTTTTTACTTGATAGTAATGAATTGTTTCCAAGTGACTTAGCAACATCTGTGTTTAACTGGCCTGCCCCTGTCTTTCGTGTGTGCAGATTTTCAATTGAGAAGGGCATTGCTGGTCAGGTAGCCAGAACAGGAGAGGTCCTGAACATCCCAGACGCCTACGCTGACCCGCGCTTCAACAGGTGAGCAGCGCTGCCCGTCCAGGCAGGGGCGCCCTCGGGGTGCTGCTTGGCCGCCTCCTCTCCAGGGAGCCCCAGGTCTCTGTGTTCTTTCTTCTTTCACGGATTCTGTCACCAGCAGTCAGTGGGATCTGATGAATAGGGAGTTCTTAGCCATGAATGTAAGATAGCACCCAGCAAGAGATCCTTGAAACTTTGATTTCCAGAGCTATTGTTTCTTTTGGTTGATCATTTTAAACATTTATTTATTTCTTATTGGAAAGGCAGACTTATGTATATAGGAGGAGAGACTGCGAACAGTCTTCATGCACTGGTTTACTCCCCAAATGACCACAATGGCTGGAACTGAACCAATCTGAAACCAGGAGTCAGGAGCTTCTTCTGGGTCTCCTAGGTGGGCGCTGGGTCCCAAGGATTTGGACCATCCTCTGCTACTTTTCCGGGCCATAAATAGGCATCTGAATTGAACGTGGATCAGCCAGAACTCAAAACAGCACCCATATGGGATGCTGGTGCCACGGGAAGGAGGGCTAGCTTGTTGAGCTATCATGCCAGCCCTAATAAATGCATTTTTTTTCCAGCTCATGATAAAAGACTGCTATACTTAGTAAAAAATTATATAATTGTGAAGCTGCCGTGTCTGCTCATGTTGTAGCTGTCAAGTATGGTAGCATAAGTTACTTGATTTTTCTGAGGCTCAGCTTTTCCATCTGGAAAATGTGTATGGTCATGTCACTTTTGTAAGTTTTCCACTATCACAGATGATATCTGTAAAGGCTTTGGGAAACAGTGTCCACACCCACGAGGAATTCACTGCATTGAGAATTATCAAAGCTGTGTATCAGGAAGGTGTATGAAGATTTGTTTTATTTTGACTTTCCTTTGTGTAACTGGAAGCCAAATCGTATCATCTGGTTTTAGTAAATCTGAAATGGAAAGCCTCAGGACGTGGCTGACTGTTAGGTAACAGTAGTTCTGTTATTTTGACAGCAGTGTGAGTTAATTCAACTGTTTGGTCTATTTAAACAAAAGGAACATAGACAATAAGAAGATTTTTATGTATTTTGTTAACTCATGTGAAATATATGCAACTCAGGAAAACACAGCTGCATTCTAGTGACATTTTACCAATAAACCATGTATGAATATACTGAATGAATATATCAGAAAAAGCTAACTTGTAATTTCACTTCTTTAAATTCTTCCTATTTCTTATAATTGAAATGTTTTAAAGAGCAAAACACTTCTGGATGCTACCTTGTCCCCCAAATCTAAAAGTTAAAAGTTCATTAAAAGTATTTATAATAGGGCCAAGCACAGTGGCTCAGTTGCCTAATCCTGTCCCTTCAAGCACTGGAATCTCATATGGGGGCTGGTTTGTGGAGGAGGACCAAAGCCGTGGGACCCTGCATCCACACGGGAGATCTGGAAGAGGCTCCTGGCTTTGGATCAGCTCAGCCTCGGCCATCGCGGCCACTTGGGGAGTGAAACAGCAGATGGAAGATCTTTCTGTTTCTCCTCCTCTCTATGAATCTGTCTTTCCAATGAAAATAAGTAAGTCTTTAAAAAAATGTTCCTAATAGAAGCATGCAAACTGCCAAGCCGAGTTGACGCTGGTGAGTGGACGCGCTGTCTGTGTTGCCCATTTTCTCCCGTCGTTTATTGTTGGGCTCCTTGGTTTCTCCACAGAGAAGTGGACTTGTACACGGGCTACACCACACGGAACATCCTGTGCATGCCCATCGTGAGCCGAGGCAGCGTGATCGGCGTGGTGCAGATGGTGAACAAGATCAGCGGCAGCGCCTTCTCCAAGACGGACGAGAACAACTTCAAGATGTTTGCTGTCTTTTGTGCTTTGGCCTTGCACTGTGCTAATGTGAGTGCACTTTCTGCGTTCCTCCTCTGCGGCGCAGGTTCACGGAGAGCCTTTCACATACGGAGAATCTTTAAAGGCATAATGATTCCTGGTTGTACATTTTTTAGGACACGCCCTGGCACAGAAGGTCACGATATCCCAATATCTTACATTTATTTTAAGGTGTGAAGTGTTAAAAAAAAATATATACTGGCATTCAAGCGTCAGGCTTGTGTGTCACAGTTTGCTCTGCCATGAAGAGGCAAAGTGTTGCTCACACTCAGTGGTTTCTCGTGTGTGTCACGTTTGGGTGGTGTTTCCCAGCAACTTGGGAGAGCTGTGTCTCGGTGAGATTGTGTGGACCCAGGCAGAGTCCTTGCAGATTTGTCACAGCTGCTAACTCAGTACACTCGCGTGTTCTCAACAGTCCTGCCCACTCCACTGAAGGATAACATCCAGAGATCTTAAATACATCTTCTTTTACACTGTTGTATTTCAGGGGAATAAAACATTCAATATTTGGAGGCTCTGTAGAGCTCGGAAGTTAGGGAAAATAGTCTAGCACAACGTGAATGGGAGCAACTGTGACCAGTGCTGTGATATAACAAGTTAAACCTCTGCCTGAAGTGCCAGCATTCCATATGCAGGCCAGGCTGACCCTGACTGCTCTGCCTCTGCCCAGGCTCCCCGTGCATCTGGGAAAGCAGCAGAAGATGGCCATTTGGGCCCCTGCACCCATCTGGGTGGACCTGATGAGGCTCCTGGTCCCTGGCTTGAGCCTGGCCAAGCCTTGGTGGTTGTGGCCAAGCGAGGGGTGAGCCAGTGGATGGAAGATATGCCTTGTCTGTCTCCCAATGTCTGTGTGTCAGTCTTTCTCTTCCCATCTCTCTCCTCTCTGTAATTTTGGGTTTCAAATAAACTCATCTGTAGACATTTTTTTTAATGGAAGAACTACCCCAGTAATTTAGAAAAATTCCTGAGTGAGGAATAGAGCTCAGATACTGAGGAGCAACCTGTAACTGATGGACGCAACTCAGCCCACGTAGGCCAGCAGGTTAAGCTGCTGCCTCAAGTGCTAGCGCGTCACCTGAGCATCAGCTTGAGTCCTAGGTACTCCAGTTCCAAACCAGTGCCCCGTGAGTGTGCCTGGGAAAGCAGCACGTGCTGGACCCCACGGCGCAGTTCCAGACTCCCAGGGTTGGCCTCTGCAGCCATCTCTCCCCCTCAGGACCTGTCTTTTCCTCGGCCTCTCTTTGTCACTCTGTCTTGCAGATGAATCTTTTTTTTTTCTTTAAGTCTGAAAACATTTCTTTCTCAGCTAACTGTAGACAACCATTTTATAATTTACATAAGTTGTATTTAGTGGGAGCGCCCATCTTTCCTTCCTGCATTATTTATTTAGAATTAACTCATCCGAGATTAACAAACACAACTGCCGAAGTTGCTTCAAGCATTTGCAAGATCTACATATCTCTCGCATGGACTTCTTTATTTAAAAAAAATAAAACATTTTACTAAAATATAGTACACATAAGTGTAAAGAAAAGTGGGGGTTTGTTCCCTCAGCATGTTGGCAACAGCAAAAACAACAACAAAAAATCATTATTGGTAGCCAAGTCCTCACCATCCCCTACCTGGCATCCATGCATTGTTATTTACACAATAAGATTTAGTGAAATAGTATCGTTTATAAGTGAATACCAAATGATAGCACATTCTCACAATTTGTAGACTCACTAAGTACATTTATTTCCACAGGTGTGTGAGCGATATTTTTCTTTCTGGGTCTGGCTTATTTTATTTAGGCTCATAACTTCTGTTAGAAATACCAGGGTTTCATTGTCCATCGTGCATACATACCGCAGTATGTGCTTATCAACTGCTGGACAACCAGGTTGATTTCAGTATCTTAGCCATTATGAATTGAGCATCCGTGAACTTGGGAATGGAGTGGGGATGTCTATTTCATATGCTGGCCTCACTTCCTATGGATATTTCTCAGGGATGTAGCAGTTGGGTTATATGACACATCTGTTCTTAGTGTTCTGAGGAATCCCCATGCTGTTTGACATAATGTCGTATCAACAACACCTACAAGGTGAAGATTTAGCCACTGAGCCATTGTGCCATTATGTTCTTGTTCCCTTGTGAGTTGATTTTTGTACAGGTTAAAAGTAGAAATTCTTTTTTCAGAGTTCTGCATGTAGGAATCCAGTTTAACAATACCTGTTGTTAAATTAATGTCTGGGTTTTTGTTGTGTTCCATTGGTGTACATGTTTTTTTTTTTTTGTCTGGATATCAGCATATTTTGATTATAACAGCCCTATAATAATTCTTGAAATCTTGTTATGATACCCCACTCTTTGCTTTTATTGTTTAAGATTGCTTTGAATATTCAGGGTCTTTTGCATTTCATTTGAATTTTAGGAGTTCTGTGAGGAATGTCCTGGGTATTTTAATTGAAGTTATATTCAACTATAAATTGCTTTGAGCAGCATGCAAATTTTGATAATGTTAATTCTTCCAATCCATGTACTTGGAAGAGTGTTCCATTATTTAAATCTTCTATTATTTTCATTAATGTTTCATAATTTTCATTGTAGATATTTTTTACAGCTTTGGTTAAATGTATCCCCAGGTACTTAAATTGTTTCTACAGCTTTTGTGAATTTCCATATTCTAAATTTTACGAAAGTATTAGAAAACATTATTAGACTTAACAAAGATGCTTTAATAGCTGTGTTATCACAACAGTTTAATAATAGGAAAATTTTGAAATGTATCAAGGGAAAAAATCTCATTGTTTGATAAGAATATAGATGAAAACTAAGACTCTGGAAATTGGTGCTCTGTAGTGGTCATAACCCACTAAGGTAAGTATCCGGGACGGCAATCACGGGCATCACTCTGATTCTCCCAGTGTTTTCTGGAGTGGCTGGCTTTGCTGTGCTGAGCCTTTATTTCCAAATATCGTAGGAAGATTAGAAGCGACACCTGGTGTCATACATTGTGCCAAGCAGTCAGTCAAATATGCAGGTTACCTACCTTCCAAGTAAGGTTCTATTTCTAGGGAGCATATCTGAAGTGTTCATAAATTCATAAATATAAGAAGAGTTTGGGTAATATGAAGTACCTGCTAATTGTTCACTTCTGGTTAAATGAAGTTGACTGATCCTGATAAATGCGACATATTGACAATGTTAAACGATTGTGTTCTTAGTTGGAGCATGACGATCACCTTGTAATACTGAACGTGACGGCATCATGGCGTGCTGTGTTATTGGCACGCTGTGTGGTCTTGTTTCAGTAGGATCCCATCCCAGACGCATGGCTCATGGATTACATCAGCACTCACTGTGCCTTTTGCTGTCCTAAGTTCACTGTCATATGTGTTACATCTCTGAGGACATCTCATCTCTTTTATTGAGTTGAAGGTAGCTGGAGGTAAAATATTTGATTTCATTTTGTATTCAAAAGGCAGAGAGAAAGCAAGTCTTTACCATCTGGTTTACTCCTCCAGTGCTCACGACAGCTGAGGAAGAGTGAGGCTGAACCCAGGAGGCTAGAACTCAGTCCCCGTTTCTCACATGCTGTCAGGGAGTGAGTACTTGAGTCATCGTGCCCCACCTCTCCCGGCACATGAGCAGGGAGCCAAGCTGGGACTCCTGATAGCTAGGACTGCAACCAAGGATTCCTCCCACTGTGAGAGGCATCCCGGGTGGCTATGCCCCACACCTGTCCCTGTGTCATGAGTTTAAATTTAATATGCTGCAGGAAGCTAGCAGCCTCCCTTTGCCTAGAGAAAGGAATCGTTTTAAAAATCACGCCTGTACCAGTTCAAGTCCGTTTCTCTACTTTCCTGTCCAACCCCTGTAATGCACCTGGGAAGGCAGTGGAGGCTGGCCCACCCAGATGCAGGACCCCCCTGGAGATCCTGGTACCACCTTGGGGTGTTGCTACCATCTAGAAGTGAATCAGGCAATGGCTCATCTCTTTCTGTCTTGTCTTCTGCCACTCTGGCTTTCAAATCAGTGCTTCTGAAAACAGAATGATTTTGGATAGGAAGACAATTAACACTAAAAGGATATGGGAAAGAATCAATGCTGAAGTGAACCAGTTGTTTAGGGACATATTTACTAAGCAGTTCAACCTTTAATCACTGAATTCAGTAACCAAGTGTTGGGTATCTTTCCGATAACAGTAGGTGGATTAAGTTGGTTATGTTATTAGCAGCTGTTATTTCACGAAACCTTATTATGTCACAGATATTGTCTGGACACTTTCGAAATAAGAACTTGTTTAGTCTCACTACCATCCTACCAGTGAGGTTATCAACACTTTACACATACATGGAATTTAAATGATTTCTCTAAGGCTTCATGGCAAGCATGTGGTAAAGCCAAAGTTCAATACATGTAGATGGACCCCAGAGCTTCCTAAATGGACTGCCTCTAAATTGACACTATTCCTCCCTAAGTTTGCTCACAGGAAACTTGGGTTTTAAATTTTAAGTCTTTTGCATTTTATATATCAAATAGGAAGTAGATGATACATAAGAGGGGTGTGTCAGCATCCTAAAGAGTCAGAATCAGTAAGATATGGAAAGAAATATGCATGCCTTTATTAGGGGATGGGCACGTGTGGACATGGACACTCAGGGGTTCTGGGAACCTGTATAAATTCCAAGTAGCGAGGCTCAATCCAAGGCCAAAGGCCTCAGAACTGGGAGCGTTGACGAGGTAACTCTCCCAGTCCCAAGGTGGGAGGCCTGGAAACACCAGGAAGCAGGCTGGGGCAAGTCCTAGCTTCTTCTCATGACCAAGGCAAGGGTCCCCGCCTCTGTTTTTGCCAAGTGTTTGTTTTCCTGTTGGGCCCCCAGCAGTTACTGTGATGCCCCCCCACTGTGGGGAGGGTAGTGCACTGATGGACGTGCCAGCTTCTCTCAGCAACACTTTCACAGACAGACCCAGAAATGACACTTGATCAACTAACGGCATCCACTACTCAGGGATGAATGATT